GGCGGCGGGGGAGCCGCTGGGGTGGGGAAAGGAGGGGTGCACTGGTCCGAGTCGCGGGCGGATTGGAGGTCGGGAGGTCTTGGCCCAGGAGCCCGACTCTCTCTCTCCCGGGGCCACGGGGCTGCCCAGGTGGTATCGTGAAGGGGATTATTGAATCTGGTTTCCGACTGCGCGCAGTAAACACTCCTTAAAGATGGAGTGCTTAACGGGAGTATGTGTGTGTGTGTGTGTGTGTGTGTGTGTCCACGGGTTAACTTGGTCACCCAGTTATGCCCGCGTGCAAAACCTTTACTCGGCAGCAGCCTCTGTGGTCGGTGCCATACACCTTAAGCGCGCGTCTAAGGAGGGAAGGAAGGAGACTGAGGTTGACTTTTCCGGTGTGTCCGCCTGATCTCACGACTCGGGCTCATTGTACACTCTGTGTTTTGGAAGTGTTTGATTGCAGGGTAGCATGTTTTGGGTTGTTCCTCGTAGGCCGCAGGACTTAGGGCCCACGTCTAACTCTAGACTTCCTTTAGAAGCCACCCCCAACCCCGTGCGCCTTGGGTACATTTCTAAGTATGTGCTCATACAAACTTTCGAGCAAACTTTCATTCTCTCCCCTCACCCCTCCCGTTTTCTAAGTGGAAAAGAATGTCCAGAGGGGTTTACTAGATAGACAAGACTCTTACAAAGTGTTTGATTCCAGGTGCATGAAATCTTTAACGTTCCAGGTACCTTTTGCTTACCATTTTTGGTAAGTCACCACGACTTTAAGAAAGAATACTTAGTTTGAAAAGTGTAATTGAAATCAGTGTGATTATAATAGTTTCGTTATTTACCATTAATAAATTGTCCACTTTTATATGTTCGGAGTGTGGTGAGAAAGATGTTTTTCCTGAGAGGATTTGTGTGTGTGTGTGTGTGTATGCGTGAGTGTAAGAATAAACTGTAATTATGTTTGCCCACACTAGACTTTGAGATTTATATGGACTAATTTTGAAGTTGCATACTTGTATGTCACATCCCAGGCAACTGGCTGAATACTCTACAGAAAAACTGAGTGAAATTGGTATTTGAGAATTTATCGTGAATGTATGTTGGCTGCAATAAAAGATATTACTTTTATGACAGTTTTGCGTTCCCTGGAGAATATTGCAAAGACTCATTTGACTGAGTTGTTCTTAATAGAAAATCTGGATGGGGATGCTTGTCTTTACCCCGTTCATTTTCCTTATTTTGGGCGAGTTAGTGGAAACCATTATAAGGGATCTTTGTTGTTTCATCTATTGCTGTTCTTATCTGGAGTCAGTCTTGTGTCAGTAATCATGGAAAGAACCTGCGACCCTCCGTGTGCAGAAACCATTAGAGAAAAGGCTGTTGCCATTTATTTCCCGCTAGATTATATACATATGGAGAAGATGAGGGAGGAAACGGATTTTGGTTTTCTTCAGATAAAATGAATTTTGAGGTTATTGGTGTGATTCAGTAGATCTTATTTATCTGTGGTTTCCTTACTACATATGATTCATTATAAAAGTTTATGAGTAAAGTTTGTTGAGGAAAGATTATATTTATTTTTGGGGAGAGGGAACACTGGACTAAACTTATATAATTTTGTATATTTAGATTTTCCTGAAGAATTTTAAATACCATGTATTCCCCTTAATTGTAAAAATAGTTTGAAGTACTCTCAATTTCTTAAATCCATTGGGAATTTTGCCTCTGAATAATTTTCTCTTAAAGCTTGACGTATTAAAAACATTGCCCTCCCCTTTTGGTTACATATGGTGGAATCTCTATTTTGCCAGGACAGTTAACTTATATTTTTTCATTTTTGTTCATCATTTACAAATTAGATGGTATAGATTTTAACAAATAGATCTCAAGAGCTGGATTCAATTAACAGCTTTTTAGGACATAAACATTAAAGGGTAAGATGGAAAAGATTGTTTTGACTGACTGGATAAATGACAGGGCTATGTTTGATGTGAGTCCAGGAATTGGTCTGGAGCTGGTGCCCAACTTCTCAGTCCATCTTGAGAAGCCAAATAAAATATTTAACCTAGGCCTCATTTTGTTTTTTAAAAAAAGTTGATTCTTTGTTAAGACCTTAAGAAATGTTTGGCATACCTTTAGACTAAGTGTTTAACAGTTCATTTAGATCTGGGTTCTCTAATAGAGGAAAAATCACTTTAAAAAAAGGCAGATACAGTGAATTTTTATTTGGTTTACAATACATTTGGGCTATGTTTTGAAATTATTGTTCTTGCTTTAGTACCATACTCATATTTTAAATTTATAGAGTGCTTTTTATTCCAAGGTGCTTTATGAACTGTATGTAGTTACTCAATTACATCTTAATATGAATTTGCCCGCTTGCTAAAAGGTGTTAACAATTCTTGCATGATAACACACACGTAAACTGAAAGATAGGAAATACTTGAGCCATGAGATCTCTGCCCACAATAGATATTAGTTTTCCATGTATTATACCTACAATCACAGTTAGTGAATTGTTATTTATTGATGTTAAGAAGGTAGGACTAATTTAATACCAAATTTGAGATTGCTCAGGCACATTGGTGCTTAAAATCTGACTTGATCCCTTAAACTATTTCTTGTTCTTTATGACACATTAACCACTTGATCATTAAAATGGGCTATATGGTATTATCAGTTTTAACTAGTATTTTTAGAGCAAATTGGATTATACAATGTATAATTTGTATAGTATTATATATATATGTCTATTGACTTTTCTTAATGCAGTTAGTTAGAAGTCGTTTGGATAGAAAATATTCCTTATATTTGGTTACATAAAATATGCGGTAGCCAGTCTCAAATAAATAAATAAATAAATAAAAATGCGGTAGCCAGGACTGGTGGTGCATGCCTGTAATCCCAGCACTCGGGAGGCTGAGGCAGGAGGATCGCTGTGAGTTTAAGACCACCCTGGGCTACATAGTGAGCTCCAGGTCAGTCTCAACTGCATAGTGAGACCCTGTCTCAAACCCCCCCAAAATGGGGTGATTTTAAATACTATTGTTGTTTTAGAAAATCAAGGCTGAAAAGAGCAGTTTACTGTAACTTTTAATGTATAAAATTCCTAGGGATGAAGAAACAATAGGTTTCTTCTCCAGAACATTTATTTCAGACATTTTTGTAAATTCATTGCTTTTGTATGTTTCTCCTCATGTTAATTTAAAAAATCCTTGACAGTAAGGAAGCCAACCTGGTATATAACTTAAGGAAAATTAATTTCAAAATGTCACCTTGAATGTGCTAGTATCTTTAATATAGATTCATTACATATTTCACTGATGCAAAGCTTTAAAAATTATAACTTGATCTGTATCTTGCAGTCTTCAAGTATATATATTTCTATATACTGTAATGACTTCTTGTAGGGGTGTAAGTAATTGATTTGAATCTTCCCAGTTAATTTTTTTTTAATTCTGAAGAAGCCAGTGAAGTTTAGTTCCTTCCTTTTCTCTTAAGTTCTCTCTCTGATCTAAACCCTCTTCAGACAGGCAGTATAACATGCCTAAGTATAGTATGGTTTTCTTGGTGGGTAAAGTGTGTATGTGTATTTTAATCATGGCTTCTGCCTTTTTTTCCCTGTTGAGCTGTTACTATCACAACATACTAATATCTCATGTAATTTAGTGTATTTTGTATGTAAGTCAATTTTCAAGGTAAAATGAAGGGTTGCGCTTAAGAGATATAGGATTTTAATTTTAGCCACTTTGATGAACATCTTCTAAAGATGTGATCAGTACCATTTAATTTTGTTGTTTTGAGACAGGGTCTTGCTCTGTAGGTTAGCTGGCCTTGACTTACTGTGTATCCCAGGCTGGCCTCGAACTTGTGGTGATCCTCCTGCCTCAGCCTCCTGAGTGCTGGAATTATAAGCATGTACCACCACACCTGGCCTTTGTCCTATTCTTTTAAAATAGAACATACTTAACAGAATGTAATGTTTTATGTGATTCATTTATTATGATTATATTATTGTAATACTTAGTGTGCCGATATTGTG